CAAGGAGAAGAGACATCGAAGGCAGACGTTGGGAACGTGAAACTAGAAAAGGAGTTCACTGAGGACGAGGTTGAGGCGTGTGTGAACAAGCTGAAGTGCCACAAAGCAGCAGGAGCGGATGGGATAGTAACGACTTGATGAAGTTTTGGGGGGAAGGGGATGATCCAGCTGATGGTACTGCTGTACAATTGGGTTTGGAAAAACGAGTATACGCCAAGTAGATGGAGGGAAGGAGTGGTTGTGAACTTGTTTAAGAACGGAGACAAGACTGACCCAGGAAACTCCAGGGGGATCACACTGTTAAACACAGTAGGAAAGGTGTTCTGCAAGCTGCTGAACGATAGGATAGTGGGAGTATTGGAGAAGGAACATAGCATTAGTGAGGGCCAGGCAGGTTTCCGCAAGAAGAGGGGGTGCGTAGACCACGTGTTCACGGTAGGGAGAATCATCCAAGGTAGAAAGAGGGCGGGAAAGCCGACGTACTGCTTCTTCCTGGACGTGAAAAAGGCATACGACACCGTGTGGAGAAATGGGTTGTGGAAACAACTGTCCAAATACGGGATCAAGGGGAAAATGTGGAGAGTGCTGAAGAAGATGACAGAGTGTACGAAAAGCGCGGTCATGCTAGACGGAGAACTGTCAAAATTCTTCGACATTGAGCAGGGGGTCCCACAAGGTTGCACGCTGTCCCCAACATTGTTCCAGGTGTTCATCAACGATCTGTTGGAAGTCGTAGAGGCAGTCCGGAAGGGAGTAAAAGTAGGGGACACGGAAACGTCGGTTTCAGGAATGCTGTTTGCGGATGATTTTGTCGGTATGTCGGACACCCCTGAGGGACTGCAACTGCAAATTGACGCGGCGAAGAAGTTTACTGATAAGTGGAGATTGTCTGCCAACGTTCAGAAGAGTGCCGTCATGGTATGCAACGAGAACAAGGAGGAACCAGTAGAACATAGATGGAAGTGGGGGATCGAGGAGATTGCAGTAGTGGACCAGTACACATACCTCGGAGTAGAGATCGCAAAAGACTGCTCGTGGAATGCACACATGTCCAAGGTAGCGGAAAAGGGCAAAGCACGAGCAGGGAAGCTGCACCCAATACTCGCAAACCGGCACCTCGATACACGCATCAAATTGACGGTTTTGAAGAGCGTAATCGTACCGCCGCTAGAGTACGCCGGAGAAGTCTGGGAAGGAAATAAGAAGGTAATGAAAGATCTCGAGGCGGCGCAGATGAAAGCGGCAAAAATCATCCTAGCATGCTCCAGGCGCACAAGTAATGCAGCCGTGAGGGCAGAATTGGGGATCCAATCCCTACGGTCGGGAAGAGACGCGAGGAAGCTGACCTGGCAGTATCGCATGTGCGGGATGGGAGAGGAGAGGTTGCCGAGAATTGTATGGGAGGCGAAGTGGGCAAACAAAAAGAGGGGTAGACAACCCACGGAATGGGTCAAGGTTGTAGAGGACGTATGGAAGGGGCTCGACATCGACGAAGATGAAACGCTGGAAACGGAGGGTCTACAGGGGTTCAAGGAGAAGATATCTGTTGCTTGTGCCGAGAGAGAAGAACAGAATCTGAGGAAAGAATACAAGGATAAGGAGGGTCTAGAAGTGTACGGAATGTTGAAGGAAGGAATAGGGTTCAAGGATTGCCTACATGGACCAATGGGTGCAGGAACAACGCTTACAGGTCAAATTCAGGACCGGGGACATAGGCCTTCGAGAACGTCGACGAAGACAT